ACATAGTAATTCTCTTTGGCGTTATTACGTAAACTTGGGAATAGTCTTCGTTCTCGTTTCGAGGAATAATGGTATTCATTATATCCATAAAAAGGAAAACGCATGCGGCCATCTTGAAACTTATGTATAATTTATCACTACGATACTGTGTTAATATATCATTGGCATTGTTAAAAGGAAAAGAAAATCTACATGTAAATAAACATAAAAAGCATTTTTATAAATAATTATTGTTGTTCAATATATTAATCTCGACCCTTTATTTACCAAAAAAAGATAAAGCGATCGTAAAAATTGAAAAAATTATAGCGTAATAAATAAATGCATAAATGTTTATAATGATTAAAAAAGATAATATATATATATGTATTATAATTTATATTCATGTTTTTTTTTTATAAATATATTATTTTAAAGTTTGTAAAGTTTAATAAATAGTTTGTCACTGGATATGCCGAAATAAAATAATTATAAAAGTATAGGGAAATTTACGCGTTTATTATTAGTATTATTACGAAAAAAAATTCATAATATCAGTAAACATATGACGCGTGATATTTGATATTGAGACAATCTTATCAAAGCCAAAGTTTAAATATTCCTCTTCGTTCAGTTTTATGTTAATATTTTAATTGACATTCTTAGAATTTACCTTACACTGCACAATGTCGGTACGTAAAAATATATAAATCAATTGTATCAAATAATTGCATAAATTATTTTGAAAAACTACATAATATAAAAACAATCATTTTTTTAATCCAATATTTCAAAATGTTTCGATCAATATACCTATAAATATTTTAATATTAAATTCTTAATATTTGAAAAGAGTGAAAACATTTCCTTATTTTTATTCATAGAAAATAGCGTTCACATTCAGGGGAATAATCGCTCCAGTATTGACACCATTTAATAATGACAGGTAATTTTCTTAATATTATACAATACAGAGATACAAATAACATTTTATTCTATCATGATTTTATCGTCATATTTTAGCTCGAAGAGTCTAAACTTGTCTATCATACCACAATACGCCAATTTCTTAGCAAAAAAAAAAATCGATGGTGTTCTCGGTAAAATTTACATATTCAGCTAAAAATTTAATAAAAATTAAATAAAAAAAATATATATTTCGATAAATATAAATTATAATTAATAATTGACAGTAAATGGAACGAGTGGAGAAGGTCCATCCATGTCTTTAATTGAAAGAAAATTAGTCGCCGAGGCTTGGGCAAATGCTGTAAAAACAACGAAACAACATTTGATGATTCAAGTAGGAGGTGCATCTCTTCCCGATGTTCTCGAACTTGTACGTAAATAATATCATAATTTATGAATGGAATTTATGGAATTATAATTTTATTTTAAAAATATAATATTTTTTTAATTTCAAATTTGATTAATTAATTATGAAAATATAATATATATATTTTTTATTTATAAAATATTTATTCAAAGGCAAAACATGCTGAAAGCATCAAAGCAGATTCTATTCTCTGTCTACCCGATTTATACTTTAAACCAACAACAATGGAACAATTAAAAAATTATTTAAAACTAGTTAGTGAGGCAGCTCCAAACACGCCATTTTTATATTATCACTTTCCAAGAATGACTAATGTTAATAGTAAGTTAATAATTATGATTGTTTTAAATCCATATGTAAAATGTAACATATCTAGAAACGCATTGGAATTTTTTTTTTTTTTAGTACACATGGGACAATTCCTCGAATCTCTAAACGACGAAATTTCAACATTCGTCGGAATAAAATTCACCAGTTCTGATTTAGATGAAGGTACTCAAGCATTTCGTGCTAATAACAAGAAATACGTCGTATTCCTTGGTAATGATCAGGTATGTATTATTTATTTGCAAGAAAATATCATATTAAGAATTTAAAAAATTGTAAAATAATATATAATATATAAATAATTAATTATAAATAATAATAAATTTAATGTAAATGTTATATTCATTTATTTTAGTTAATAAATCCTGGTTGTGCAGTAGGAATAGATTCGTATATAACAACAAGCTCAAATATGCTACCTGAATTTATGATCGATTCTCTTAGAGAAGGACTTGCAGGAAATGTTATGAAAGCAAGAGACATGCAACAACGTTTGACAAATGTTGTTCTCGCTATATCAAAATATGGTAAGACTTATCAAAATTTGATAAACATGATGATCAATTAAAAAAAATTAAAAATTTAATAAATTTCTTACAAATTGAATAAATCTTTATAATAAATAATATTATAATACTTTAATTTAAATATAATATAATACTTTAATTTAAAAAGAAAATTTTAAAAATTGTATAAAAATTATAATTATTACAGGAAATTGGGTATCAACTATGAAAGTGGCAATGAATTTGTTAACAGATATTAATCCTGGTCCTCCACGTGCACCTTTAGAATCTTTATCTACACAAATTGTATCATCAATGATAAAAGATTTACATAAATTAGGATTTCCCATAAAAATGTAACACATCAAAAATGAGAAAAAAAAATAGTATTTAATGCTAATTTTTTAAATAAAATTAATGGAAAATAATAAATTATAATGAAACACTTATTTAATAAATTTTATATTGATTTCTATTAAAATTATTAAAATACTGAAATTTTATTATGTTTATGTTTATCATTTGTGATTATATTTAAAGATCATTTATGAATATATAATTCATAAACATATTTAAAAATATTTTATATTATAATATACTATACTTACTATATATTTTATATTATAATATACTATAATATACTATATATTTATGTATATTTTATTTTTTTTATAATATTATTTTTATATAAATTTATGTGAATTATATTTTTTAAACATTTTTTTTTCAAAATAATATATATAAAAATATTAAAAATATTAATAAA